ACATGATAGCAGTATTCCAATATCTCAGGGGCTGCCACAAAGAAGAGGAAGTCAAGCTATTTTCCAAGGCGCCTGAAGGCAGGACCAGAAGCAACGGATGGAAACTAATCAAGCAGAGAAGCAACCTAGAACTAAGGAGAAACTTCCTGACAGTTAGAACAATTAACCAGTGGAACAACCTGCCTCCAGAAGTGGTGAATGCTCAAACACTGGAAGTTTTTAAGAAGAGATTGGACAGCCATTTGTCTGAAATGGTATAGGTTTTCCTGCCTGAGCAGGGGGTTGGACTAGATGACCTCCAAGGTCCCTTCCAACTTTTTATTATTATTATTATTATTATTATTATTATTATTATTATTATTATTATTATTATTATTAATTATTATTATTTCTTTCAATCTCCACCAAATCTGCTTTCAGATCAAATTCCTTCTCTGCATCTGGTTTATCTACAATTAGTCGAATCTGATTATTTTTGCAACTATTATAATTTCAACGTTTTAAAAACAACTTTCAACTAGGGCAGGGGTAGGCAACCTTGGCTCTTTTATGACTCGTGGACTTCAACTCCCAGAATTCCTGAGCCAGCTGGCTCAGGAATTCTGGGAGTTGAAGTCCACGAGTCATAAAAGAGCCAAGGTTGCCTACCCCTGAACTAGGGTTTATATGTTACCAAGTGATCTTTTTTCAGATGCCAGCCACATTTGTCAGCTACATTTGCAATAAATAAATAAATAAATAAGAAAGTTTTAAATGGATTGGCAGACCAGGGAGTTTTGGAATGTTATTTTTGCTGTAAGGTTTGAAAAATTACAGTTAAATAATATATTTGAGAGAAATGACTTGAAACTGAACTACATATTAGTAACTGAGGCTTGATGAAGATTGCAAATGGACGCTAGAGGGAACTGAAGAGCCAGGCAGAAAAGAGCTAAAATGGTTAAACCAGCTACGATATATCTTTTTCTTATTTTAAAGAGTTTTTTACATGGATTGAAGTATTAATAATTAACATCTCAGAAAGGATACATATTTCAATGGATAAACTTTTAGAAGACAATGAGAAATTTTTTTTAAAAAACCCTTTAACCTGACATAACATTGTAGAGTTTGAAGGCATGGAAGACAATAAAACTGAGATTATTAAAATGAGATTACAAAAGACAAATCAAGAAAAAGATCTGGACATGAAAAAGCTAAAGCGAGAAATTTTGGGTGATGCCTCTGTGGGATTTACAAAGAAAGGTGGTAAAAACTCTAAAGGCTTCTTTAAATACCAGAAAGTGATGAAAAATGAAATCCTTTGATGCCATATGAATGATTTAAAGGTCAAGATTCTGTAGGACAAAAAGAAGCAATACTGTACAAAGTTGGACTATTTGACCAGGGACACACAATTTGTTTGATATTCCTGGACCTTTTGCTGAACTAGGATTGAAAAGATGATTCCTGGATTGGTTATAGAGTAAATAAAAATTAGGCTATATGTGAAAAAGAGTTGAGTTTTTCTATTTGTAACTTTAAAAAGGGATGAAAACGTATATAAGCTTATGCTGAGTAATGAAGTTTGGAAGTCACTTCTTTATTATTTTTCCTTCTTTCTGCACTTTTTTTCTTTTTCTTTGTTTGTTACTATTAAAGATCCCAACATTTTTCAAAAAAGATAGATCTGTCCGCTGTGAATTTAATTCAACCCACCTTTAAAACTGAGCTTATGACCCACTGGTCATTCTCTCCTTTGTTCTTTCTAAATTTCCTTCCACACAGCAAATTGTCACTATCACTCTGAATTGCAGAGTTTTAGAATTAAGGCTATGGGCCAAGTGTGACTCAAAATTGAGCCATGTGTGTTCCCCATTGTGTAAACAACCGGAGGAAAGCAGGGCCGGCACTTATTATCTGCATCCTTTTTTGTTGGTTTAGTCAACTTCCAGATACTATATTTGAAGGCTGTCACAGGGAGTATCTGACACCCACATGTGCACCCTGTATGATTCAGCAGCTTGATTTGTAGAGGGCGAAAGAATGTGTTATAAAAGCAATCGTTATCTATGTATTGTTGTCATGAGCCCGTTGAGAAAGTAATTTACCCAAAGTATTTTTCCAATATTTCTGGCAATGGCTGCCATTCATATCAATGTCAGTTCATATTTTTGTTACTGTAACAAAACTGCTCAGTTTTGTACTGTCTCACATTGACTTGGGGGGAAAATTGATTTATTCACTTAAAGAGTTACGCAAAGTGCTGGTTGCTTTCAGCAAAAGCACAAATGGTGCATTGTCAGTTATAACTCTGTGCAAATTTACATGGGATTTAACTCCATTAAATTCAACCGGGATTACTCCTAGATAAATGGGATTAGGAATTGGCGGATTTCCTCATGTTAAAAACTACCAATCTCATATTGGTAAATATGGGAGGAAAAAAATATTACAGACAGGGTGCAACAGAAAACACAACATTAATGTTTCCAACATATTTTGGCTTTGATTTGGAAAATCTCAGATGACCAATGTCCTATTAACATTTCAAAACAGCCCTATCAAACCAGCTGGATGGAAGAACCAATCACAGCTCTGTCAATTTCATTTACTGGAGAAATCACCAGTCATACATTCATAAGCCTTGCAGCACTGCCTGCTTGACATATTTAATGAAAAGAATAGATGGCTTTTCCTGCTTCTATTTCTGGATCACAGATGGTATCCTCTTCTGAACACTGTGCATCAACATCCCCTGAGGTTTGCATCATGTTCATAAAGCTTATAATTCAGGAGCCCACTCCCCCATGTTCCTTAAGATTTTGCTTATGACCACATCATTTATCCAGCACTTTTCTCCCATAGTCAAAAATATTTTATTAGTAAACACATGCATGGTGTAAGATGAATGGGGTAATATAATAAAATACATACTGTATCATATAAACATAACTTTCGTTAAAATTTATCTTCCCAACCTAAAACCTTAACCTGACTGCTTGTAGCCTGTGGAAGTTGAAGTCTAACACATTTGGAGAACATCAGGTTAGGGGGGAAAAGGCCAAAGGCAGTTCTAAACTTGCCTACTTCTTGGTGCACAATGGTTTATCAGGTTCTTGAGCACCATAGTGCAGGTATGCATTTTTTTCCATCCTGGTTCCAAGAAAGGACTGTCCAATGCCTTCTCTGAAATCAGCAGTGAATGGCTAAGTCCGGTATCCAACAAAATCCATATTTTTTTATGATTTGGTATAACAGTTTATCAAGCCATGGGTGGCCCAAACAGATCCATAGTTTCCACTACCAAGGAGAGATGCTCCAAGAAGGAGTTAAAGGAAACACGCAGGATCCTAGCTTCTTCGGCTCTCCATTGCCTAGAAATAATAGTAACAAAAATAATGAATGGCACATTGTTAAATGTATAAGACTGGTCTCACACCAACACTGTACTTTCTACAATACCATATATTAGATTTATTGTTTGAATGTGCAGACCTTACTGATTTCCCTTACTTTTTGCACTTACAATTCACCTTCCTCTAGGAATTCAAGGAGACATACTTAATAACCTCTCTCAAATTTTATCCTCCCGGCAACTCTATAAAATAAGTAAAGCTGACCGAAAGCAACCTAGGCTCAGAGAGCTTTATGGCTGATCAAGAATGTGAATCCGGGTCTTTCCAGCCCCAGTCCACTACTTTAAACCTTACAGCATGTTGGGTCTTTCATCAAACAAGCCCTGACCACCAGACTCTGTTGCTTTCAAGTCTCCAAGGATGATGTCCTGTTCTGAAAGCAAGCTCTATCCACACAAGAAATAATGGCAAACTCAACCTCACACATGAAATTGCACTAGGAAGCAGAAGCCAAACCCCTCCTTCTGGTTCCCCCAAGGCTGTTTCTCTTGGTAGATCATGCCCCCTGCCTCTTCTAAGGTTTATGCTCTAGAAGATGGAGGCCTATGAGCCACACTCACACATGTAAAATGTTGTCTGTCACATTCAGTTCTTTGGTGATCCCTCCTTTGCGAGGCTCAGGATCCGGGGCCAGGGAACCCAAGGCAATCTTGGCCAATGTTGATGATGGAAAAGGAATTTTCAGTTCACTGATGTTGAGATAATCATAAGGAACATAAAATACAGAAAAGAGTATAGGGCAACTCCTCACTTCCTCATCCCATCTTCTCACATCATACATTCTCCCTATCTTTAAAAAGGAAGTATATTAATCGCTGTTTAATCAATGGTTTTCAAGCTCAGTTCAAGACATAGACTTAGGCCTCTTCACAGCTTCTGATCTCAGTATCCACCACTTCACCAAGTCTTTCATCCTGAACCTCAGGAGGTGAATACCAGAGACAGGACTTGTTTAATTACAGCTTTCTGTCTATTGTTTCCTTGGGGAAATTCACCCTGGCGCCAACATGATTTCCTTTCTGTTTTTCTTCCCCCACACCTGAATTTCTCAGAATCTTTTAATTATTGCTATCTTACTGCCCTCATATGTTGGGGGATAGTTTTTACCTTAGTTTTTATTTTTAACTTTTTATTATTTTATTTTTATTTATAACATTGCATTCATTTCTTTTATTGTGTTTTAAATTTTTATACTGTATTATTAAACTATACCTCTTAGTAAATAAACATTATCTTTGTACTATGTAGACAAATAAGTGGTTAGAGCTTCTAATCCCTATATGTGTTTAATAATGCCCATTTTGAAAGCGGAGTTTATAAAAACTAAGCATATTTGGACTAATTAGTCAGTGGATTGGCAAACATCTGAAGACAAATGTGGGAAGATAAAAAAAAAGAAACATTGTAAAACAAGGTAAAAGAAACTATTTTCATATTATGGCCAAGGAAACTACATATCCATGTAGTCACCAGGAATTGAGGTTTCCTCAAGGGAGCATTTTATTTTTTTACCCATGGAAAAGACCAAAAGGCAAAACGCCAGGACACTATGGGCCCTCTTGTTTGACCTCAGCTCCACTTATTGCTTTTAAAAGGTTGTGGGTTGATTTAAACTGTAGGATATCATTAAATGAAGTTTAATGAAGAGAAGGACGAGGGGGGACATGATAACAGTGTTCCAATATCTCAGGGGCTGCCACAAAGAAGAGGGAGTCAAGCAATTTTCCAAGGCGCCTGAAGGCAGGACAAGAAGCAACGGGTGGAAACTAAGCAAGGAGAGAAGCAACCTAGAACTAAGGAGAAACTTCCTGACTGTTAGAACAATTAACCAGTGGAACAACCTGCCTCCAGAAGCGGTGAATGCTCCAACACTGGAAGTTTTTAAGAAGAGACTGGACAGCCATTTGTCCAAAATGGTATAGGGTTTCCTGCCTGAGCAGGGGGTTGGACTAGATGACCTCCAAGGTCCCTTCCAACTTTACTATTATTAAATATTTTCATTAGCGTCCCCATCTTTTAGGTGGGACATTGCCCCGCCCATAGCTTCGGAAAGCGTCATGAATAGCCGCCCTAGACGTTTATCTCTCTCTTCCCGCCAAACTTTTTAAAATTGCAACCTAGGTTTTATTATTTTTATTGTTTCAGCACAGACCCCAACAGTACACACGCGGGGATTTGGACACACCGTAATTACACGCTGTTGACACCCATCGCCCTTGCCTTTCCCGCCTTATTTCCCCGCAAGCAATAGTTTCTACACCGCGCTCACCCGCGAAGGGATGGCATCCGCAGGCTTATGGGAACGAGGGGATCGTCCCTGCTGAGTAAAAAGCAGTTTTCCCTAACCGCTACTGTCATTGCGGGGGGAAATGAACCCAGGCGCCCCAGCCCACCGCCCTCTTCCTTTCACGGCTCCATCCCGCTCTCGCCCGCTCTGCCCAGCCCGTCCTCCGAGCGGGTCCTTCTCACGACCCCGGGTACCCTTTCTGGATACAAGGCAAGGCCGGACCCCGGAACAGCCATGCTGCTGCGACGCTCCTCCCAGCCACGTGGGTGGAAAGGGAGGGCGCCGGAGATGCCGGCTTGTCAGGGGCGGAGAGTGAATTTTTTTTGTACCGCTTTAAATTCATATTTATATCCAGGCTACCATCGTCAAGTAACCGCTGTTTTTCATCCGCTCTGTAGCGGAGCGTATGTGCGCGGGTGGGAAGAGCTGCTAGCAGTGTTTCTCAACCTTGACAATTTTAAGGCATGTGAACTTCAACTCCCAGAATTCCACAGCCAGCATTGCTGGCTGTGGAATTCTGGGAGTTGAAGTCCACATGCCTTAAAATTGTCAAGGTCGAGAAACACTGTAAGAAGATCTTTAAAATATAAAAACAGTAAAATACGACTTTTTGACTCGTTTGAATGTTTTAAAAAAAATTAACATATTGTTATCCTGCTTCTCCACTAGGGAGCAAATTGGCGAACCAACCGTTTAAAAGCATTACAAATAACGTTCTACTTTAAAACTAATATTTACAAAATGCAATATGTAGATTAAAATATAGAGATTAATTTAAAAAAAAAAGATTAAGAAAGGAGAGCCAGAAGAGTGCAGTGGCAAAGATGCTGCCTTAGAAACAAAGAGAGTGAGTTCTAGTTTGGCCTTTGGGATGAAAACCAGATGAGTGGTTTGGAGCCAGTTCCCCTTTCAGCCCAGCCCACTTCACAGGGTTGTTGTGGAGAAAATAGGAGGCGGACATATCAGGTACGTTTGCCGCCTTGAGTTATGTAAAGGTGGGATTTTAAAAACTAATAATAAAAATACTAGAAACAGCAGTCCAGTATATCAGCTGCTATCTGAAATGCTAACACCATACATACAACCTCATCAGTTTCAACAGTTATACTCTGCCATGTCTAACTCAGCTAAATCTTTTCAGTTGTTTGGACAGTAAACCGGTCTCTTCCATGTAGTACCTGTTTTTATTTATTTAGATCAGGGGTGTCAAACTCAATTTCATTGAGGGCCGCATCAGCATTGCGGTTGCCCTTGGGGGGCTGGGGGTGTGTGGCCAGGGTGGGTGCAGCCTACTGGGTGGGCGTGGATGGAGTGGGTGTGGCCTACTGGGTGGGCATGGCCAGTTCTACATCGTTCGCATCAAGGGTGCCTGTGGGGGCCAGGGCAGGAGTGGGACAGATCTGAGTCTCTGGCAGAAGGGGGGTGGGACCGGGGCAAGCACCAAGGCATGGTCCATTTCTTCATTCCTCACAAAGGGTGAGGGGACGGAGCCGACACAGCAGGGGCTGGTTCCTCGCTGTTTCCAGACGGCCTTGTGGAGCTAAGACTGAATGGGGTCGTTCCCTCACTGTTTACAGGATGGCTTCGCAGGGCACATGAAACCACTTCGCGGGCCGCATCCAGCCCCCGGGCCTTGTGTTTGACATGTCTGCTTTAGATTAACTATAACCCTGTCAATCTCACCACTGGGACTCTGATCAAATAGCATCAACAAAAGATCAAAGATCTTATAAAGATCAAATAGCATCAACAATAGCATGTAATCCATGGCACGCAAGGTAAAAATAGTAAATCTCAAATCATAAAAATCTTCCCTCCACATTTCTTAAGGCTTTAATCTGGAAAGCAGAATCTCTATCATATTTTGCATTTTGTTATAGTCCTTCGAGTCACCTTGACTCTTGGTGACCACAAAAACAAATATCTGCAGGTTTCTTGCCAAGATTTCAGAAGTGGTTTGTCCTTGGCTGCTTCCTAGGGTTGAGAGAGTGACCAGCTCAAGGTCACTCTGATATGTAAGGCGGGATTAGACTCACTGTCTCCTGGATTCTAATGTAGCATTTTAACCAGTCTAGACCAAACTGGCTTTCATTTTACATTTTTGTACTGCATTTTAAACGTGGCACCGTAAACGTCTAACCAATTTAAGTTTTCCCTAGACTGCTATCTTCTTCATGATAGTGCTATCAGTTGCTTGAGTTTTCTGTGTCTGACAACTTGTCTGTTGAATATGCAAACCAATTCCTTTGAAAATAAAATACTGTACTGAAGGCAATTATGATAATTCAGTCCTGTTGGCCATGATTTCTATGCCCTTGTCAACTAGCCCGAGATGCTGGGATCATGTACTAAGAAATTAAATGGTGGATACCTCTGTGTGAACCAAGACAAGGTCAATGAATGAATAAGTGCGGAGAGATAAACAAGGTACCAAATAGACTTGAGACCAACCTACATTTTTCAAACAGTAGTTGTTGTAGTTTACATTTTCATGTTCCAAAATATATCTGTCTTGATACCTCGGGATAAAACAGAATATAAGTGGAGTTTTATCTCTGAACATCAATGTGTGTTATCTTTAACAGGAAAGCACCTTCAAAAGGCATTTGTCACTTTCCATTCTGAGATCAAAGTATCCCTGACTCTGTAACTTGAATCTTTGCCATTAAAAAACAAAATAAAAATCTTCCTGGCATTTTAGGAACCATGCCAAAGCATTTCTCATCATCTGATTTTTCTAGCTAGTTAGGATGATGACAAAAATCAATCCTGCTTGATGCTGTGTGACTTGAGGCCAAGGATTTTCATAGATTCCCCACTCAAACACATTATTCTAAAAGGTATCAGTTTTCTGATTTTGGTACCTCTGTTCATCCATTATCATAATTCAGGTAACAAGCATCCACATATGAATCCCCTTCTGAGGGAACAGAATATATGAATAATAGGAAATGCTGGAAAAGTTTGCCTTTGAATCATGTGAGGCATTGTACAAGTTCTGTTTGTGGTAATACTTCTAATGGTCATTCACAAACACGTCATTCATAGATATTGCAGTTAAAATCAGTTCTTTATTACCAAATGTGTGAATTATGTTAGAATATATTAAGCCTGACAGGAAGTGAGTTGATACAAACGTTCTGTCTGCAGAATTAGACCTGTGCAGATCTACAGTATTCACATTTTCAAGTCCTTACTGAAACACAAACACCAATGTGTGAAAGTAAATTTGTAGATTTGAAGTGACTTGAAAAAGTGACTTTCTGCCTCATCAAGTAAGTGATTTGGCATCAAAGTAAAATTCTTAAAATCTGGGCCATATTGGTATTAACAACCTGATTTGCTGGACTTTTGCCTTTAATTTTTCTCTGAGCATATAAGCATTTAGGATACAATCAAGGTTCTTTTTGTGACTCCCCCTCCCTCCAAAGGCTGAGCCAAATTTAGATTCAAAGTTAGTTTTGCAAAATAGATAACAAGGTTTCCCAAAATCCAGGAAAAGCTCCCACAGCTTGTGCAACTGAAGATGCAGCTGCTTATAATTATCCCATCCACTTACTTCATATTTCAACTATTTTTAAGCCATCTTTTTTGGTCCCAGGACAAAATTGTCTCCGATTTCGTGAACCCAGTACCCGCAGGACACAATTCTTATACAACTATATCACAGCACAATGAAAGGTCTGAACAAAAAGTGTAAGTTCCATTCAGAGTATTATTTTAAATGCTTTTACTTTTAATCAAGACATGAAACAAATGCTGCACCTCCAAACATTTTCAGCCATGTTTTTCATTCCTGCAGTGTAGATGCACCAGGGACTGAGTTCTAGTCCCGCCATAGCCGTGCAAGCCAGCTGGGTGTCCTTGGACTATCCCAGTGATGGCGAACCTTTTAGACCGAGTGCCCAAACTGCAACCCCAAACCCACTTATGTATCGTAGGGTGCTGGGTGAGCATGGCCCATTGGGTGGGTGTGGCCCATTGGGTGGGTAATGGCAGACTGGGCAGGACTAAAAAGTTCAATCAATCAATTCCAACGTTGCGAGATCTTTTTTTTTCCTGCGAGAAGTTGAAATTGATTGATTGAACCTTTTTTTTTTTTGCACACGGTGGCGGATGCCTAAGGCGAAAAGGTTTTATAAAACCCAGCTGAAGGCCTAGGACTAGGGCGATGGCGCGCGTGCCCACAGAGAGGGCTCTGCGTGCCACCTGTGGCATGCATGCCATAGGTTCGCCACCATGGGATTATCCTCTCTCAGCCCAACTCACCTTTTAGGGTTGTTATTGTAGGGAAAATATGAGGAGGGTATGTTTGCTGCCTTAAGTTATATGTAAAAGTAATAAAGGCAGGATACAAATAAATGAATAACCCATCAGCACAGATCTGATCTCAAAGTGCAGAGCAATCACAGCACACAGCACACTGCAGAGCAGGTTGTTTTGTTTCAGCAGGTAATCTCTTCAAGTCATATAATATTAAACTAACCATTACATAGGAGAGTTATCTGGTAGCCCAGAGGCCAAAAACTGGTCCTTTGAGGAAGAAGAGAGCACCTCAATTTTATTATGTGCATCACCTGCCTTCTACCCAGCCTCTAGCTCTTTATCGCATCCACCCAGTGAAATACCTCAAGACCAATAACCCTTGTAGCTTTGATAAATGTTTCCCTTTGCACACTTCAGCTGCTCAATCCTGTACCAAAAGTTGGGAGAAAGGCATTAAAGAGCTGTCTGCTTGCATCTCATTCTCTGGGGGAGTAACTTAGTGAACTGATAAAACCTTGCTCCCTCTTCAATTTCTATTTTATCAAATTATACCTCTTCCTTTAAAAAAAACCTCCAAGAACCAAAAAATAACAGGGTTATAGAGTCATGAAAAATTCCATACATGGAAAGGTTAGTAAGTAGCACCAAGAGCAGGGGTTCCCAACCACTCGCACTCCCTGGGGATGTGAGGTGATATTCCAGGGGGTGCGAAAACTTGGGTTTTCAAAATTATAGGGTATATGCATAATTCGTTGCCGTTATTTTGAACTTTTGTAAGGGGTGCGAGAATGTATCAGAAGCATTCTAGGGGTGCGGGGTATAGAGAAGGCTGGGAACCACTGACCAAGAGTCTAATATATTCTTTGCCATTGGTTATGCTAGCTGGGCTAATGGAAGTAGAAGTTCAAATATTTGGGTAGGTTTGGATATGCCCAAACAAATGAATATTCTTAATGCAATAGCCTGGTTCAGGCAACACTTTCATCAATT